TTCAGGGCAGGTTTGGCTGGCTTGAGTTGTGGGGATCGAACCACAGCAACCTGAGCCTGATTGCTTTGTTGAAGCAACCACTTAAAGAACTGAGCTAAGGGGCAGGCCCCCAATGTGTTAATTATTGAAACTGTCCTACCAGTTTGATTTGAAACTGTCTCAGTGCTATTTGTTTCTCAATAAAATTATGGAAAAAGAGAATTGAGAGTGGAAAAGAGAAAATTTATAAATGCCTTTTTATTGAGAAGCAGTGTCCCAGACTGGTTAAGAACATGGGCTTGGGATATATGTCCTGGGTTCAAATCCCAAAGCTTCAGAATCTTTAACAAGCTTCAGAATCTCTCCATACATTAGCCCATCAACATTGTGAAGTAAAACTTTGAAAATCTTAAAATAACATCTGGCACATGGAAAACTTAAACTTAGGTGTGATTTTGCTTAGGATGTCTTCATGAAAGAATTAGGATTTTTGAGAGATCTTGGAATAAAGGAAGGCAGACGAGTTGACAAATGGAAGAAGAAAAAAAATCACTGAACTTGAAAGTATAATGATTGTGCCTAGTGTTCTGAATCTGAAATTATTATCCAGGATGGTTTTTTTTTTTGCAGTACCAGGGATTGAACTCAGGACCCTGCGCTTGCCAGGCAAACGCTTATTCTACTGAGCCATCTCCCAGGCCCCTACAGGATGTTTTTAAACATTTATCAATTGACATCTTTAGTGAGAGCTCTTCCTCCTTTCTTTCATTTTTCTTGATCATGCAAATCATGTTGGTTGATTTTTTTTTTTGTGACTTCGTACATGAAGTTACCTTTCACAAGTGATGGATAGATACAGGGGTAGATCCAATGTTATGTTATACATGTATAGGTTTTAAAGAAGTGAAGGAAGTGATATCATGCTCTAGAAAGAAATTTAAAGCCTTTTCTTATTTGATGAACACCTGAACTGAAAAACTAATGTTTCCTTTTCAGTTTAAAAAAGTTTGCTTTATATATGCCAAGCATTAAGCTGGATGTTGGAATTACAAGATACGTGAACCCGGGTCCTTGCACATGCTAGGCAGACACTCTACCAGTGAGCTATGTATCACCAACTTATGTGCCCCATGGGACAGTCATAATTTTATTATTATTTTTTTTTATTTTTATTTTTAAGAATATGTGTTAAGTATACATGGTATATGACATAGTTCTTTAATTTAAATAACAGTATTTTAATGGTAACATTGAGAGACCTTATTATGACATTTTTTAAAAAAACATTTTACAGCCCAAGAGACAATGAAGACAGTACCTCTGAAAAAGAAGGAAATGTTTTATCCTCATATTTGCAGCACTTTGAATTCAGTGAAGAGAAGAGTCTTGAAGTGACTGAAGAAACTTTGTTACCAGAGGATGTTACATGCCTTCTTCATGCAGATTTAAACAAAGAAAGGGAAGAAATAAGTGGTATGAATCATAGCACTCAAAGTGCTTTTGTGCAGGAAGCTCCACACTTGTGTCTCTCTGGTTCTGAAAGTAAAGTTCAAGCAACAGACCAGGGGGAAGAAGAAGAGGAAGCAACAATGACCTCTGGTAGAGGATGTAGTGAAATCCCTTCAGGTAGTCCTACAGAAAGAATGTCACTAAGTATTTGCTGTCAGGAAAATAATCAGGAAGAATTTGATTTTGTAAAAACTGTACCATTTCAAAATGAAAAGTCTTCACCTGGTGAAATATTAAAAGGAAGAGTCACAGTAAAGAAAAATGCTGTTGGGAAACTAAAAAGCAGATCACCTGTGGAAAAGTTTCCAAGACATGAGCTATCAAATTTTGTTGGTGATTGGCCAGTTGATAAGACAATTGGTCAGAGGATGAAAAGGAACCGAAGAACTGAAAAACCTTCTTCATCTGTACAAAATGAAAAAAAAAATAATTGCCCACAGTCATGCAGTGTATTACATAATAGTGTATCTGGGAGTACAGATCCTATCCCAGAGCCAGGATCTTCACATGAAAGTGCAGAGGATGGCAGGAAATCACAGTGTGATGATCCTTCAGAATTCCTCAGTACTTATAAAAATACTGAAGAAAACTCATTCATCATTGTGGCTGACTGGCCATGTTATTCTTTAGCTCAGAGAGAACACAGATCAAGAATGCTAAAGGCTGATATAAGTGAACACAACCTAGAATTTGGAACTAATAACAATATAAATGAAATGTCCTTGTACACAGCATGTCAGACTTGTTGGGGCACAAGCCCTGAACTAAAAATGTTAGGTAGCTCCACTCTACAAAGTTCTGAGACGGCCAATGAAATGACCCATGAAAATCAGACTTGCTTAAGTAAACAGATTCCTGGTCAACACACTTTGCCTCTTTCTTCTCCCAGCAGTGTAGCAATGGCATCTGGAGTACCAGAGCTACAGGCTTTACCTGAATTTCCAGGGGAAAGGTCTGAAAGATGCCCTGAAACAGAAGTAGGCACATGTACCCAGACTGAGCCACAGGATTTTGCCCTCTTATGGAAAATAGAAAGGAATAAAATCAGAGTTTCAGATTCTATCAAAATGTTAACAGGAAGATTAGATGGATTTAAACCTAAAGCTTTCAATACTAACACAAAAGCAAGTGTTCAGCACACAATTCCTTATAGGGTAATGCATGATAAGAGCACATATGTTGAGGAAGATGAACTTACCAGTATTGATGAATCTGAAAATCTTAATATTCTTTGTAAACTATTTGGATTCTTTTCCTTAGAAGCCCTAAAAGATTTATATGAGAGGTGTAATAAAGATATTATTTGGACTACAAGCCTTTTATTGGATTCTGATACTAAATTATGTGAGGATACAGAATTTGAGAATTTCCAAAAACCATGTGAGGAATCACACCTTGGGCCATTTTCTCTGGGGCCTGATTTGAAGGAGGTTGTTAGCCAAAAAGGAACCTTAGAAGATTCTAATTCTTCTGTGCCAGAGTTTTATAGAATTAGCACCAGTGTTGGTAATGTACAACCTACGTGTAATGCACAAAAAGGAAACTCAGAACAGTCAGAAATACATGGTATAACTTCTGGAAACTGTGACATAATAAGTACATTTCCTAATGCTACTATAGATGTAAAGAGTAATAATGAAGTACTTCCGACCAGTCAGGCAGAATTTTCAGATTTATGTAACTTTAAGCAGTCTCTTCCAACTGTTCTAAAATCCCCAAGCCTGAATAATGTAAGTGAAATGGAGACTAGTCTAGTAGCCACAGAGACTGGAGACGGTATACATTCATCTTTAAATTTGTCTGATATTCTGAACTCTGTAGAAAGCACTTCAGATATTGAATTAAATGAATTTCATTTTACTGAGACTTTGGAAATGAAAAATGAAAATCTTCAAAAGGATTTTGAGAAATTTGAAAACACAGAAGAATCTATGAATGAAGAAGAACAGGAAATGGAGAAAATTCTAATGGCAGAAAGTAGTTTATTAGCTGGAGATAGTGAAGAAGATAAAACTGAGATATTGAATCCCATACCAATGATGGCCAAATCTTTGACTATAGACTGTCTTGAATTGGCATTACCCCCTGAACTGGCTTTTCAACTTAATGAATTATTTGGTCCAGTTGGTATTGATTCAGGTAAGGAAAAATTAAATTATCTACAAGTGTATCTTTGTGTGAATGATATGCAGAAGGTTTTTTTTGTTTTGCTTTTTTTTTTTTTTTTTTTTTTTTCCCTTGGAACCGGGGATTGAACTCAGGTCCTTGTGCTTGCCAGGGAAGTGCTTATTCCACTGAGCCATCTCCCCCGTCCTGAAGTTTTCATTATGAAATTTCGTATGTTAACTGAAATGTGAAAGTAATTTGTATTGCCTAAGTTCACATAGCACTTTGACACAGTTTGTTTCTAGAGTATTTTTAAAAATGTAGTTGAAGAAGTAGAGACTACTATATGTAGTTTTCAATCCATCCCATGTACATATTTAAATCTTGCTTTATTATTTACCTCATACTTGTTTGTACAGATGTACTGTTTTGGATTGTCTGGAGCCAGCCTTAATCCTTATTGGGTAGTGTGGTGCACACTTATAATCCTAGCTACCTGCAAGACTGAGGCAGGAGAACTGTAAGTTTGAGGCCATCCTGGACAATTTAGTGAGACCATGTCTCAAGATGAAATTTTTTTTTTTTTTTTTTTAAGATGAAATTTTAAAAGGGCTATGGCTGTGATTTAGTGTGGTGGAGCCTTTGCCGAGCATGCAGGAAGCCATAGGTTTGATCCCAAGAACTGAAGGGAAAAAACAAAATCATTGAACAGCCTTACTGAAAAGCTTCAACTAATAGAAATGAATCATTTAAACATAGACTAGGAAATAAATAACTTAGATTTATTTTGAAGTTTTATATAAGTATACCAGTCAAGAAGTATGAAAATAATGGTATATAACATAAAAATATCCAGAAGATATAGTAAATAGAACATGAATTAGTAACTAGTAATGCAGATTAGTTGCACAGTGCATATGGTTTTCAGCAAATGTATAATGAGTAATGATTGTATTTTTCTTCTCTTCACAAGGATCTCTAACAGCTGAGGATTGTGTGGTTCATATAGATCTGAATCTGGCTAAAGTGATTCATGAGAAATGGAAAGAATCTGTAATGGTTGGTAGGCTTTTTTTTTTTTTTTTTTTTTTTTTTTTGAGAGAGAGAGAGAGAGAGAGAGAGAGAGAGAGAGAGAGAGAGAGAGTGTGGCCCGCTCAGTCCACCAGGGGGTGTAGGGCTGGCTGGCATGTGGTGCTGGGGGATTGAATCGCGGTCCCTGATGCCTTGCCAAGCTTGTTCTAAGTAGGTGCTCTAGACCACTGAGCCATCTCTCCAGCCCCTGGTAGGCTTCTTTTTATGAAGAACTTTTTTTATGAGTGTTTCATCACCATTGCTTTTCAGCAAATTCCAGTGTCATAAGAATGATTTTTACTGTATTTTTACTCTGAAAGAGAATGAAGTTTTACCAGTCATGAGTTTACCAACTGGCTATAATGGCACATGCCTATTGTCCCAGTGCTCTGAAGACCAAGACAAGAGGGTCTCCCTGAGTTTGAGGCCAGCCTGGACTATAACGTGAATTCAAGGCCTGTCTGAACTACACAGTGAGACCCTGTCTTAGAAAACAAACAACCCCCCACACCCAACCAACCAGACACAGAAAATGTTTACTTACTTTTTTTTCTTTTAATGTATTTGGTTGTTATAGGATTTCATTATGCAGCTCAGACTCACATTGGTCCTCTGTCTCAGCCTCCCCAGTCCTGGGATTACTGGCATGCCCTACCACGCCTGGTTTCGGTGGCCAGCCTGGCATGCCCTAGGCGTGGCATGCAGTACTGGGGATAGGACCTGGGTCCTTTTATTTGCCAGATAGGTGCTTAGACTACCAAGCTATCCCCCGAGCCTAATTGGGTTTTTTTTCACTATTTGAAATATTTCTAGACTGACCAAATTATATAATTTCCAATGGAGGTTGTGATTATTGATTTTTAACAACAACAAATCCTAAACAGTGAATTTTTTCCTTTTTAAAAGATTACAATGCAACTCAACATAATGGTGTACTCTTATAACTGTAGCACTTGGGAGGCTGAAGCAGGAGGATCTCTGTCAGTTTAAGGACAGTCTGAGATACATCGTGAGTTCAAGACCAGCCTGGACTGCATAGTGAGAGCCCCTGTCAAGAAAGAAAAAAAGGGGCTGGAGAGATGGCTCAGTGGTCTAAAGCACCTACTTGAAACAAGCTTGGCAAAGCACAGGGACCTCGGTTCGATCCTCCAGCACCACATGCCAGCCAGCCCGCCCCCTGGTGGGCTGAGCTGGCCACACACACACACACACACACACACACACACAATAAATAAATGTAAAAAAAAAAAAAAAAAAAAATTACAATGCTCATTAATCAAATTTTTAAAAAGTTTTTAAAAATGTATCATATAAGGTCTCCATAAGAAAAAAATGTATAGATGTAGTTAAAATTTTATTTATCTAACTTTATTTTACTTAAATTGAGTAAGATCTATTTATAGTCATACATGTTTATAATCCCAGCCTGTGGGAAGCTGAGGCAGAAAGATCACTGTGAGTTTGAGGCAGCCTGGGCTACATAAGTGAGTTCAAGGCCAGCCTGAGCTACATAGTGAAACCTTGTTTCAAAACAAATGAATAAACAAAAAAGCCCCCCCTCTCCAAAAAAGAGAGGAAATTATTTCTAGAAAAGCAAACAATATAACCTGCAACCCTATTTGCTGATGTGTCCTTCTTTGTTCATTCCCTGCTTTTTTTGTGTGTGTTCAGGAGCGACAGAGACAAGAGGAAGTGTCTTGTGCCAAGTATATGCAAGGTAAAGTGCATACTTTTACTTCTTCTTCTTTTTTTTTTTTTTTTTTT